CTTAAAAATATAAAATTTTAAAGATAATAATTGAATATTTTTATTAAAAAATAATTAAGAAATTAGGCTAAAGTTGATCGGTTTTAAGTTTTGCTATTGACAATTTGTAAATTTAAAAAAATCGGTGAAATTAATTATAGATGGTAAAATTGGCTTTTGAAATATAGAAAGAATAAGAATTAATTGTGAATATCGGCCTATGTATTCGACGCTTATCGATCAATTAAACAGACAAAGTCGAGTCGAATAAAATTAGATCTTTTTAAGTTCTCCAATTATTTAATATATAATTTTTAGTTCAATGTCATGAGAAAGAACAAGCCTACTGTTTATTTCATTAGAAATTAAAATTCAACCGATGAAAAGATAATAAAATAGACCCTGCTTACATATATATTTCCTCTCTTTTTAAAAAAGCTAAAAGAAATTTTGCCGCACATTTCGGCATTATATAGAAGGTCTCAGTGAGACCTTCTATGTGAGTAACACAACAATAAAAAAGAAAGACACATGCTCAGACACATACTACATGCAATCCATCTTTCTCTCCGTATCCGCCATTACGCGTAACGTTACGTCTCTTTACACCACGATCAAGCAACGGCACATCCGACGGGGGAGTATTGGGGGAGGGGAGGGGAGGTTTAAATGACCCGGAGGACGCGAGGAAAAGGGGGGAAACATCAAGCTGATGTTGACAGTCGTAAGTGCACGTGGTGGAAAACCATCGTAAATCGTCAGTCGTAACGTCCGACGTGCCGGCCATTCCCGTCATGTCGGTATAAAACGTCGCCGTCCCCCCGCGAATGGGATCGCCACGGGCGCTACGTCGGTGCGTTTCGTCGACTTATTAAAGCGCTGTGAAGCGTCGTCTTCAACATGGCGGTGCCGTTCGTCCAGGCACCCCGTGCGCCTCTACGCTCATCATGACCACGGTGGATCGTACTGGCCGCGCGTCACCTCCTCGCAGTAACGACTCTCGTGCCGCGATCGCCGGGATTATCGCGCACCCACGACGCTCGTGAGCGTGCGACGAGCGAGCGACGTTCCGCGCGTCGTTTCGCGACACGTCAAGAGGAACGAGCATCAAGAGGAATCGAGCAACGGACCCCCGACGGACGGTCGATCTTCTCTTGTCGTGCGCGGTGGCCACGGTCCCGCGACTCAGAACAGACACCGAGCCGTCTCGCCTGCGTATTTGACGTAAGTCCAATCCCATGAAAGAAGAGAACGGTCGGAGTAGAATTTGCTTGCCCGACTCGTATAAATCACCGTCTCGCGACTATTGTCCTCTGTGCGTACAAAAAAATCACTCGAAAGATATAACAATATCAAAAGGAAGAGAAAAAACTTGTTTTGTATCTAGATTCCTTTATCAAGAGTAATTAGAAAAATATGTATCATTTAATTATATAATTTATGTATAATTTAAATATATATATATATCACGCTAGAACTGTTATCTAGTCGAAACAAACTATTTCAAATATATATGAAAATAAAAAGTTTACGAAGATAAAAGTTTTTGTGCAAAAAGAGACTTTCCTTAACTGAATTTTTTATTGCGTCCCATCTCTAATTCGAAACAAAAGAATTGCTTGTCTAATATAAAAAAAAAAGTAATATATTGTAAAAGATTTTTAAAAGTTTGTACTAAATGATTTTCTTGTTAATTATTTTAGGGTGAAAGCTGCTTATTGAAGAGATTTTTTTGACAAACACGTATATCAGCCTATCTCTAAACTATATATAGTTAAAAACAAGAACATTTGTTATACTTCTAATATCTTAGATTATTCACATCGATTGGAGACTATTTTATTTACACAAGAGGAAAAAAATCCAATCGATCGCTTCCAAAGATCTCTGTAGGCTTGCATGAAACAAGGAGTAATAACTAATAATTAGATTAATTCTTAAAAACAACATTTCTTAAACGGATTTCTTTTTATATTTTAGAAATGAAAATGCAATAGGTCCCTTTTAATTAGCTGCAAAAGAATTTGATCGAGAATTTGATTGAGAATACAATTATATCTTACAATAATACATAAAATATCGTTGGTAAAATATATTCCAAATTAATATTAACAGAGGAACTGCTTCTTTTTCAGAAGTAATTTGATCCTCTCAATACAGCATTTAGATTCATCTATTGTGCCTCCTTATTTTATTGTTGTTAGTTATCTTGCAAATAAACAGCAAGCTCCTTATAAGCATTTTGGAATCTCTGTAGTGCAAAGTATATCGTAATTTGAGAGAGAATCTATTAATTGATTTTATTGCAATCAGAATTGGAAATATAAACAAATATTTAGATAAGTAGAAGTGTCGAAAAAAAGGAAAGAGAGAAAGAGAGGGGGCTTATAATAAAAAACATTGTTCGAGTTACATATTATCAATATACAATTCTGCCCTCTTTATTTGAAATAAGTAATTACTGGTATTATTCTTTCGATAATAAGAGACTTTCCTATTCAATAATAATACTCAGTGTTCCTTGCAAGTTGCCTGAATATTGTAAAGCCCATTAAATTTCTAATTACAATAATGGCTGAGACACAAAAAATGACTGTGTACGGGACGCATCCTCCATGCGCTAATGGTAGCAGATTGGATGAGCGCCGAGCTAAAAGGTAAATACATAAAAAATAATCACTAATAAATAAATTTAACATTATGCCTGTTTAACATCATTAAATTATCTGTTATTTTCACCAGATTGGCGTTACGGCATGAGAGAAACAGAAAGCCGGACAAACCTGATGATTTCGTGTGTTATGAATCAAGTGACGATGAGGCCGAGACAGTGATCGAAGGCAAACAATTTCTGAGAACGTCCTTCAACTTTGTGGATTATGTGCGCGCACGCGAGACGAATACGCGAGAAGTGCGGAATATAAATCAGGAATATGGTTCCCGTCATATCCTGACGCATGATCTGTTCAAAGAATATTCTGTCAGCTTGAATAATATGAATAAAGTATTCTGTTCTCAATGGTTGAGTGATAGACAAGTGGTATTCGGTACAAAGTGCAATAAGCTTATGGTTTATGATGTAGCGACACAAAAACTCGATCAAATCCCATCTCTTCATGGAAGGCAACTTAGTCCCGGTGGTAACGTTATGCCCGAACAACAATGTGGTATTCATTCCGTTCAAATCAATCCCTCGAGGTAATTTTATTTTTCTTTATATCACGTTCAAAGAGGTAAAACAACTTTTTGAAACTTACATATGAATTAATCTATATTTTTATATTGCAGAACTCTTTTATCTACTGGAGCAAGAAATAGTAATGAAATAGCGATATATAGATTACCAACTTTGGATCCAGTTTGCGTCGGTGAAAGTGGCCACAGGGATTGGGTATTCGATATGTGTTGGTTAGACGATGAATTTTTAGTGTCGGGTTCTAGAGATACGAAGATGGCTTTATGGCGTATTGATAGTGATCTCGCCGAAGCTCCCGATAAAGCGGACGTGCCTACACATAGGTAGAATCAAATATAGACTTAAAATTTTGATCTTTACAAACGAAAAATAAGCATTTGTTCTTATCGTTATATATCAAAGTAAATTTATCGTTTCATATTTAATGATTCTGCAATTGAATATTAGAAAATGTAAAACTAGAAATAATTATTATTATTAAAATTATTTTTATCTGTAATATTTTAATATTTGTAAATATTTGCTATTATTAATTTATTAGTCTTTAATCTTTAATTAGAAAATTTTAATAATTATTTCTCTGTTTAGATTGATTCAACCTGTCTGTGTAAAAGAATGTAAGTCTGCCCAAAAGGTGCGAGCGCTAGCATTCAATAAAGCATATAAGGAGATTGCAGCGTTGACACTTAATAGTTTTATACATATCTGGTCGGCCGAATCCTTCAAACAAAAAATATCTAGAAAACTGCCAGCCTGCCAAGAAAACGTTTGTCTCGCTGTACAGGATGATGGCGTTTATGCGATTGGATGTAGATCTTATACTCTTTTATTAGACGCACGTACATTACAACCAATTAAGAAAATACCTTCGAGGTAAATTAAAATTTCCTTTTTTTTATTGTATTCTAAGTTTACTTAATAAAATGCTGACAAAAATTTTTTATTATAGATACAGCGGCTGTGGTATTAGATCAGCAAGTTTTCAAGGATCTGTTTTGACTATCGGAACTGGTCTTGGAATGCTTATGTTTTATGATGTTCGAGCTCAGAAATACTTGGAATCTTCTATAAATTCTAATAGAACTGTTGTATTAAAAGCTTCGAAAGGATATGTGGTAAGTTTTATAATTTAAAAATATATACATATTGATTTAATGAGTAAAAAATTAACGTTTCTACACATTTATATTGATAGTCACAGTTAATTATTGCATTTTATGACAATATATTGCAAAATTACTTTATTAGTTAATATAATTTCAAGCTTGGATTAATTTTAAATAAAATATTTTTATAAAAGTATATATATATATATATATATATGAAGTGTCTTTAAAAGATGCACTCCACATTTTTAGAATTATTTCATCTTTCTAGAAATTTGTTCATTCTTATCCTTGTCTTTGACTATTTTTATATTAATAGGCGTGAAAAGTGATGTGCTAACAACTAAAGTTACCTTTGAATTTTATATATAAAAGCAGATTTTTCGCTTCTTTCAACAGTTGTCAAATCGTTTTTTTTTTGTTTGAATTGACTTCCTTTCACATGCCTTTTATGGCTATTAATTTACTATCAGGAGGGGAAAAGATAATAGCTGTCCATTTTCTCAAGTGCCATTTTAGTCCACTATTTTTTTATTTATAAATTGCAATAAATTTCACTGTGCTGTCTCTCGCTTATGACGTCATGATTTCAATATGGTCGTGGCGATTAGTCAGGAGTCTTAAAATCTTGTATTATAAGAAAATATTGGAAAATAATGGTAGCAATAATAGCAAGAATCACAGATGTATTTTTGAATCTAAAAGTGATCTATTTTATTACATTTTATGGATATTCCATTTAATTCTCATTCTATGTATTATCGCAGAACAATTTATGTACTTATTCTGTTGAATTTTCTGTTGAATATTTCAGTTTCCAGATGAGGAGTACATAGATGGTTTTCAAAATGTAAAATATACTCCCGCCATTTATACACATTGTTATGATGCATCAGGTACTCGACTATTTACGGCAGGTGGTCCACTGCCCGCAAATCTGTATGGCAACTATGCAGGCTTATGGCAATGAAGATGATTTAAGCGATTAAAATTACAAGTAATAATAATTGCTAAATTATTTTAACTAAATTAGAATATAAATTGTATTTATATGTCGTAAAAGGCTTGATTATTCGATTATTTTAAAATTTGACTGATTGAAAGTTTCTTATTAATTTAATATTCTGAGTCTCGAAAAGACGATAAACTTGTCAAAAGATTTTCAAGAGATTTTTAAGATTTTCTTTTGAATTCGATTTGTTGATTCTTTCCTTTTTTTCAGGAGATAATTAATCTTGCTACGGAAAATTGACGAATAAAAATAATTTGTTTCTATAATTTACGACTTAAGTCGTAAGCCAAATAAAAAACTTAATTCATTTTTTCTAATGAGAAAATGTTCAGTTGAAGGACCATGTAAATGCATTATATCCTACGTGTTCTCTTATAATTTGACAATCAATTAAAAAAATTAAAGGATTTATTTTTTTGTTTTATTATTTTATTAATTTTAAATGCAAAAAATTGAATGTTTTTAAATTCTAATAAATTGATTTTTATATAAACTTATTTATTATATGTTTTAGACTTACTTATAAATAAGTAAGTTTAAAACATATTATCGTAAAAAATAAACGCTGGTCGCTATTTTATTACGAACAGATAATAATTTAAGAATAATACCAATATTATATTTAGAAATTATGCGATTATAAAAGACAAAATTTTTTTTGCACTATCGACATCATTAATATCTTGAACAAATTTGATATAACTGAATATTTTCATATGGAATGCTTAATTTTATTTCATGATAAAAGATGCAAAAAGGATAATTAGTAATTAGAAATAATAAATTTATATTATTTTGATTTATTCTTAAATTATTAAAAGTGAGTACTAAAATCTTAAATTTAATAAAAAAGTATATATTTGATTTTCCATTTGTTCCTCAACATAGATTACACAGAGAAAACATCAGTAAATTTTAATATGTTGATTAAATAATTTTTTTAAATTATCGAAACATAAAACGTTCATATGGTTACAATATTAAATTATTTCAGAATATTTTACATAAAAGCAACGTTTTACGCCAAATTTTTATTTCTTATAGGATATTTTTTTTTAGTCCGACTAGTAACATAAATATATTTACTAATATGTGAAATAATGAAACTAATGTGTAAAATTTTTTAAGTTGTTAAAAAAGCGAAAATGTGATTCATAATTTCTGCATGTATGTAATATGTAAATTATATATATTGTTAGAATTTTCAGTGTTAGTTATAATGCAATTGGATGAAATTGTAAAATTTTCTGCAGGAGAATTTATTTTTCTCTAATTTAAAATCGTCAACGAACATTATAGCGATGAATGTTAAATTTCTCCATATTTATCGAATTAAAGTTAAAACACCGGCCTCAAAACAGCAACATGCAATGAATTTTTTGGTGTATACTTATTTTAGCATAATAATATCAATAACATTTTTACTTACATATTACTATTTTGCATAAACGATCGCAAAGAAATTCTGGCTGGAATCAGCTTTTTACTATGATCCACTACATGTCCGGTAAAGAGTGTCATTTAGTAATAATAGCTTAAAAAGAAAATTCTAAATATTTTAATGGCACAATAATCTAGGAATATTTTCATCTAGGTATACATATATTTTATATTTATTCGTCCCTATTGCATAGCTTCGAATTAGTTTTATCTTTTCATTAGCGTTTGAAGTTTAGCTATTGTGTTTAAATGCAAGTAATCTTACTGTTCAAGTTTGACCAAGCTCGTTGCCAAGCGTACCGTTAGCTCATAGCATTTTTACATGCTGGAGAGCGTTATGGAATTAGGTGCGTGCATTTAATAACGAAGACGCATCGACCTGTGATTGTATAAAAATGCCGCGTTTGTTGTGTGCAATCGAGATAGCATTTGTTTCTACTAAATGCGCATATACTGTATTTCCCATCGTCATTTTATCAGCGTATGTTTACAACAGTAACATTAATCGATAGAGTTCGGCGATTTTGGTCGAACAAGCTCAAACTCGATTCAGGAAGAAGTCGATAAGTCTCTCGGTTTAGCATATAATATGCTGTGTAATGCGGCGTACTTAAGCGAAATAAGATGAATCACTTATGAAGTGCGTTAGTCATCACACGACGAGTCGTCGCAAATGTCACAACGTGCGTTGTGTTGCATGTCTCGATGCATTCTAGCATACATTTCTTTACGAAACGAAGAGGTCGGTGACAGTCGGAACATCGTTAAACTGTCGTAGTACGTAACGAGCATGTATGTTTAACAAAATATATTCCCGTACCGCATATTTATGAGAGTGAAAGTGAGAACGAGAGAAAGAAAGATTATAAGTTGTTATATAATAATTATGGGGTCTCACAATATTACGATAAGATAGGTAAATGTGTGCATTGTATCCGATAGCTCTGTAGTTTCACTGATACACGCTCATCTCTCTCTATGCTAAACGATCCGACATGCATACACACATACATACATACATATATAAATACATACATGATTCACTGAGAAAAATGTAAGGCCGCACGGGCATTTGTCTCGCCAAAAAGAATCGTAATGAGAGGATTTGTCATTGTTAGCATGTAACCGCAGAGAATATATAGTACCACAGCATGCGTTCATAACATATTTATGGACATTTAAATCCAATATTTCATCGCCTTTAGTGGGTTGAGATATCATATGTAAAAATTTGTAAGTGTCATACTCTCTCTCTCTCTCCTCCCCCTCTGACAGGTGTTTAAATTCAATATTTTCACCGAAACGTTCACAGCATCTCCAATAGCCTATTTTTATAAACAAGCAATAGTTAACGGGTAGCTTCTCGAGACATTACCTGGCATCGGCGCCCAGATCGTTTGGAAATATATATGAACAGATACAAATTTGAATTTAAGCTGCTGCCACTTTCCAATTACATTCTTGATTTATAACAGGTGATATCGTTACAGATGATAAATCGTATTTTATATTCAAACACATATTTGTCGACGGCAGTGCAATTCGAATTTTCCAATCATACTGTCATATTGTCACATTAAAAGCTATTATAATTACAGCATGAATATAAAAATTATTATAGTGGCAGGGTTTGAATAGTGATTTTTGATAATTTACCATGACACGAAAATACCTTTGCACACGCACTGCAACTCAATCGAATGGGAAAAGTGACCGATGAACTATATCATTGACTTTATATATGTGCGACTTCGTATATCTATGTAAATAAATATACCAAGCTCTTAAGACTGATACGTCGTTTACTTTCTTTCTCTTCCAGATCGTAAAGTGTAACTAGGAATAACGAATGAATACATTTGAAATATTAATCTTTGTTAATAATTTATTAATGGCATAGTACCATTCATACATTTCTTAATATTGACAATCACAAATAACGTGTAAAGTGGGTGTACACCGCGTACAAAAGGCGAAAAATGTTGATAAAGTTTCCTTTTTTTCTTCTACAATATCCTATGCTAATAGTCATCGGAATCAAATCACGATGAAATCAGATATGTAGAAATTGTTTATTTAGTTGACTGTATTGTAAAAAATGTGCACGTACAAGCAATAGCATTGATAGTGGATTGTGTCCATTGTGGACATACATCCGTGTGTATTTCATTGTTTGCGCGTGCACGAAAAAAACGAATATATTTGTTTTCATCATTTTCGAGAAGATTCGCAATTTGTGCAATCGAAATGAATTTCTCTCGTAAAAAAAAATAAAAGCTTTATTCATCAATTATTCGAAAAATATCATGAATATTTCAACGTATTTTTTCTTAATGTTGCAAAATTATTTCTTTAAAAAATATATTACATACTAGAAATATAGACGAACTTATTCAATCACGATATCTAATAACTGATTACTACTTGAATTTATATGTATTAATTTAATAGGTTTTGTTATATTCTTTGTAGGGGATTTTAATCGACACCATTAAATTGATTGGGTATTAGGGGAAATATGTAGTTCTAGCCTCAGCTAGCTACGTTGCAAGCTCATTAAAAAGTAACAGCACGTAGTTGATGGCAGGAATGAACCCTATTAAATTCATATATATAATATAAATTCATGTATATTCAAATCATATTAAGCAGTAAGATTCAATCATTAAATAAGCCCGTCTTGTATATTTCTAGTGTTAAAACACTTTGTCGGCCTATAAATGTTTATATCATATATTAAATAATTAATAATTCAATAAGTGAATAACGACTTTTACAACATAATATAAAAAAGAAAGATTTTGTCGATCATTTGGCAAAATTTTATATCTAATTATACATTTTGTGAATTTTTTATATTGTTTTTTTTTTAATTGTGCGCTAATTGTTTGATCTTGAATATGTTGTTTTAAGATTAAAACACACTTTACTTCAACAATAACGCATCTGAAAAAAAGAAAATTAAAAAATAGATTATGTAGAGCACATCAGTATGTTATATGGCCATATTGTTGAATTCCAATTCAACACGGAAGAAGGGATTTCGTTTGCACAATCCATTGTACGTAACAGTATCAATATCACACGGTTTAAAATAAAAAAAAATAATCTACTCTGGATATATCGTTTGCTGTAATCCGTAATAGATCTTTCTAATTTTTGAGAATATTTTTCTGTTATTATTCGAATTCATCGTATATAACATAACATAAACGAAAACCTTATCTATTTTTACAGCGAGATTTGATCTCGCATGAGAATTTCTTACAAATTGAAACCTAACTCTTAGAATATGAGTCTAAAATATTTTAAAAATGGTTTGAATTATGTTTCAATAAGAATATAATTATATAAATATAATTATAATATATATAATAAGAATATAATTATATAAATATAATTATATTTATAAAGACATATTCTGATAGATAAAATTCTGTAAAATATGATAAGGGTAAGATACTATAAAGATATTGAATTTGAATCGAAAATAATATTAACTTTGTGTAATAATAGAATAAAAAAGTCAACTTTTAATATATTTTAATTGAAATTATATTTTTTCGTTTAAAAAATATGAAGATAAATTGTTAATTATTAAATCGAGTTAGATCTCAAGAATGCAGTTTAAAAAAATGTAACTTCATAATTAATATTTCATCTTTTCTTCCTCTTCCATATATGGTAAGCTCATTATACTTCTTTTTGGTATGGATTTACAATCAGTATCCTGCACATAAATATATGTATATAATACACCAATAACGCAACGCAAGTGAGGATCTTAAAATAAGCGAAGTATCAGACAATTATTGCATAAATCAGTGAGCGAGTGGTCCACATTGGGTATCCCGACCCGACTACTAGGTAGGGCTAATCGCGAGTAAGAGACATCTTTTTTTTAATCTATCGCTACGAGAAACTATACTGTCGTCACACTGAAAGTATGCAGCGCGTTGTCTATTCGCCGTGGGATAAAGTGCAACAAAGCGCTCGTGTTCAACGGATCTGCTACTTTCGTCGAGCGACTCGTCATCGTTTATTACGATCGTGAAATCGCCGTTGCCAAAGGAGATAGTTATATTTCTGGCGATCGGATCGCGTTATCGGCCGTCGATTCGTTCTTATTAACGAATATTTCATGCGAATATCATTCTTGTAGAATCAAAGCCGCCTGGCGTCCAACGCCTTATTGAGGTCACTGACCAACATGCCGAGGATGGGTCTGTGTTCAGAATCGTATCGGAACACCGAGTCCAAGAATTTTGGATATGCTAAGAAGTCAAACACCTGGTCGCAACGCTGCAACGACTTGTCCGTGAGGTGCGGCTTTATCAGTTCTTGCAATAACGATCGGCAACGTTCCATTGAACCCATCAAGTACTCCTGGTCATAACTGTAATCCACCTCGTAGAACGATACGACAGTCATCGCCACCGTCCCCAGAGCTTCCCGGATCTCCTCCAGCTTCTCGGCATCGCTCGAACGAAATTGGTGACTGCGCTGCACGAGCCCGATCTACGAATCGCGAATTTATGAGTTAATTTATGCATCTAATTTCAGCTTAATAAACTATTAATATCTTAATACAAAATTACTCGTACATACATTTAATTTGTATTATAATACAATCGATATTAATAGCCGACTATTATGGAACGTTTAACGATATATCATGTTATTTTGGTCTCATTATTATACATATAAACGATAATTTCAAAGTGAAAGGATGAAATTCACAATAAAACGCGTTTTTAATTAAATCTTTTTATCAATATTTCGTACTAATGAATGATGCGATTATTAATTATTAAATATTGAAAACATTATTTAAAACACTGTCTCAATTATTTCAAATTTATTTTCCTTCCTAATTAAATTCGAAGCATTTACAAGTTTTCAATATTATAAGCTTGCACGTTCAAAAGTACAACAAACAAAGCTTTTCTTGATGATTTTTTTTTTTTCTTAATCGACTTCAAAACTCATTACAGAATTTATCAAATTAAAAGTTAGATGCCGAGATGCCTCTTATATTGTACCTTAATAGACAATTTGACGATGTTCTTGAGGACCTTCTCGGGTTCCTTCTTATCCAAGTGGGGGTTGCTCTTGGCGACGCTCTCCATCAATTTGTACAGATTATCCAGTAACGATGTCGTCGCGTCGTCGATGAAAAGCGAACGACCCGCGCCGGTGGACACGATGCGGCCGAGAAGCTTCTTCTGGGCACGCAGCCCTAAATCGCGGGTGCGACTCCCGGTCCCGCCACCAGCGGGATACGACCCGCCACTTCCACCTCCGCCCCCTCCACCTCCGATTGTGTTTGCCGACTGCATCACTGCAATATTTTCGCACAGTGAACGACCGCCGCTCATACATTGTGCGCATTCGCTCGCGTTCTCGCTTTTATTTAACCGTGCGAGTTTTATTTATTCGAGGCGAAACTCGGTTGGAGAAAAGCTTTCAGCTTCATAACCAGTTTTCCTTAATACGCATTCCTATTGGCAGTTTAATAAAGCTATATTTGAGCCAACATTGTAATTAATATTACAAATCTGTAGCCGATATCGATTTGAAAATTTCAATTTATATTAATTTTACAAACTTTATATCTATATTTATAAACTTTATATCTCATATTTAATGTGAGTTGCAATATCTAAAGAGAATATGTTTACGTAACAAGATCGCACTTAATGTCATTCAGTGCTAAAGGCGCGACAAAAAAAAAAAAACGGGTCGCTTCCTGTGCTCTCAGACTCTTACGATTTAACAATTCATTATGTGCGAGAGAACAAAAGAATTGCACGTTCGAATGTGGCACAAAAGTAGAAAGTCTGACGACTTCGGGAGACGGAACGTTACAATTTTAGCTTCTTGAGAACAGCGGGAAAGCGTCTCAATGAGCGTCTACGGTAATCTCGGTGTGCGTTTCTCGGTGTACATTTCTCCGTTTTCGGAGAAATTCACACCTCGTACGATGAACTCACCATCAAACATCGGTAGACCACCGTTTCCTCTGGATCGTGATAGCGGGATGGCAAATTAAATAAAGAAGCGGCGAACTGTGCGTATGAATAATGGTCCAATGGGCAAACTCAGGTAAACGTAACTAAAATAACCAAGGGTTAAATGGCGACGGATCGTTTACGTTAAATGCATAACACAAATATTGCGGATTTCATGGTAGTATGCGAGACACGATAAACGTCGTATCTTCGCTACCTTGATTGCAGTCGGTGACGGCCACTAAGTGATAGAGCAACCAGCTCTGCAATTCCATCACGGCTGTGCCCCACGCCACCTAAAATATTGAGAAAAATTTATAAAAAATCTATAAACATATAATATATTAAAAATCTATACACATAATATATAAACATATAAGATATAAAATTAATATAATTTAAAGAATATAATTTAACGAGAAAGATCGCGTTGAACTTTCAGGAAATTACACAGAATTTTTCGTTAAAGTTTCCACAAATTGCGAAATTAATCGCGAAGATATAAACAATGAAGATAAAAGCATTGCATTGTATAAATTAATTTCCATTATCTTTTTCATCCTACTATACGGTTGATTTACATTATAACACAAAGGGAAAATTTTGTTTTTGTTAAGACAAATTGATGTAATTAACATGAACGCTTATATATTTCTTTCGAGTAAATTTCCCACGGAAGTGTGTCCATGATAACGATGTAACAATAGTCGGCGTCGGAAGTGGATGAGAAATTTTTGCGATTTCTTCATCTATATAATCTCACAATGATTTATTAGTTTATCGTTGAGCAGTGCATTTGTCCGAAATGCATTCGGCGAATTGCCGCTCGATTCTTCGAAACGCAAAGCCGCCGCAAAGCCCGTCGGGATAAATTAATTACGCTTCGTTAGACAAATTAAAAGCATCGTCAAAGATATAGATCTATCAATTCGCAATACGAATTCGCTCGTAATAAAAATTACGCGATTCGGCGGCATGAAGATGTCACAAGACGAAATAACAAATGACAAAAAAAAATAAAACTTACAGATCTACTTTACAGATCTACTTTCCCATCTACTTAAAAAGATTACAGAAAGATATCCTTTATGTTTACCTCGTGTCTCGTAAATATCTCATAAATGCCACCTACGTTTTTTACAATGCTATCAGCCTTGACATCGATAAAGACTCTTTCAAAGCATAACTTTGAAAGTACGATGCCTGCTGCCCTTCTTAGATGAAAGCTTCAAAGCTTCAAACGCGAGGTCGCAATTTCAAAATTCTACGTGAATTCGTCTCTGTAGATAAATAAAAATATTTTCGAATATTACTGGCTATTCGTTCACAATCATGTCTTTAGATCTAACTTGTACACGGTTTTTTCCTTTCAGGAACTCGGAGTTGGAAGGGACCATCGTCACGCGTGGTCGAGAGAGGCTCTCCCTTACTCATACAATTCGTCTTAACGAGTGCGAACGATCCTAATGCTGGAAATGAAATGTAATGCGAGTCGACGGCATCCGTGTTGCACGCTATCATTGACGTACACACGTACACACGGTCGCACAATATAAGGCACTACCTTTGCCAGAGTTGGATCGATTTGTAAGGAGCGTCAAGGCGAGCCAGAGACTCTCATTCACCTTTGCACGGCTGAACTGACAGCGGGCAGTCGATTAAAACTCAAGCGATTCCTCCCGTCAAGCTAATAAGTAAATTCCTTCCGTAAATTTAGATTTCGTTACTTCGATGATGCGCAATAAATCAAATTCCGCGTGTAGTACAAAAAAAAAAAAAAATACTTTCAGACATGAAAACAGAAAGAAAGAGGGATTTAAAATATTTCATTAGTGACAAAAAAGTCGGAAAAATATTAGATATTAGATATAAACTTTACCTAAAGTACATACATATTCATTAAAATATTTAATTGGTCACGTACGATATTTGTAAAATCTAAAATATTTTTTATAATGTTATTGATAGTAATATTTTTCTGAAAGAAAGGAATTATATAATATTCTCTCTCGGTGTTATTCAAATCCTGAATGGGAAGAAAAAAATTTCACCGATTATGGTTCTTCTTGATTGGAATTTCAATTGAACTTTGTAAAACCGTGCGACACGAATTATTTTATTATTCATTCCTGTTTTTAATAATTGTCGAAATAAAATAATATGGGAACGGTAATGCAGCTAAAAAAGAGACCAAATAGATTGTAATGTACTCAGATAAATCGTAAAATTAAAAGAGAACGTATTTTTATCGCATTTTTATTTCTATCGAAATTCCCGGTTAATATCACGATAATGCGCTTCATTATAAGCATTATTCACCTATGGACCATCTCATAATCGGGTTCATCAAAAGCTGTCACCGCGCAATGATGCACAAGAGTGCGTTATGAATGATCGATCGCCGAACACTTTCGCTCTCTCTTTCTCCTCCCTCGGCCTTTCTACGGTCGGGGCTTTGTTCAGGCGCCTACGTCGGCGCTTTCGGGCACCTGTTTGTTGTCGCGTGCTAGTTCAAACAATGCTGATAGCCGATTGTTGTGCTAGACTGCGCAATTCCTCGGAGAAAATATGCGTCGAAGTCACCCAACGCGAAAATGTCACACGCGAATTACGAAGTTACGCACGGCGGATTATCGACCACCCAGCGAAACGGGGGAATTAATTTTTTTTTTTTTTTTTCGTCGACGATT